TAATTTGTTTGTAATTTACTTAAAAATAATCAGGAAAATATAACTTATAATGAAGATATGCAAGTGCTTAAAGGTGGCCTGCATCGTCGGAGAACTTTGGAGTTTAATAAGGAAATTCCGCTAAAGTGTATTTCGCCTTTGGGTACACAACATAACCTTGCGTTTATTAATGCTTTAGCTGAGACTTTTGTAATATCATAACTTCTAGAGGTAAATAATTCAAATTAATTTGAAAATAATTCTAGAAATTATTGTTTCCAATGTGATCATTTTTTTTCGCATTTTAAATACATTTTTATAATACAAACTTAAATTAGATATTCATAAACTAAAATGTTTAAATTCATGAATTTTCACTTGTTTATAAACAACGAAATTTTAGAATTTTGGTGAATTTCTTCACAAATCTTTCAGTTTTTGTTCTGAAAGAAAAATAACATTTTTTTTTGTTTTCAATTTATATTAGAATGTTCTCATTTGATAAATTAAAAAGAAAAGAAACCTTATTATTTAATTACAAATTTTGATTATAAATAATTGAAACAATATATATTTAACTCTATTTTAATAATGCACTTAAGTAGATATGAAAATATTTTTAATAGAAGAAGCAGATGAGAAATGTAAATGTATAAGAAGCTCGCGTCGCGAACTCTTTAATAAAATGTTTATGTTTTCCACTCAATTTGCCGATATCTGCGTTACGCTGCTTTATGGTAATAAAGACCCTAAACGTTTATTACGTTGCAAATTCCTTCTTCAAACGCATACATAAATCTCGAACACATCCAAGTATAAATAATGTGTTTACATTGTAACAAAAAATTTTCATATGTAAAAAAAAAAAACATCTAAATTTATATATTTCCTGAATAAAACATAAAGTTTATATTATTTGTAAAAATAAATAAATTCTAATTTATTTATATAGTATAATTACTTGCATCATTTGGAATCTAAATTTTTATTTAAACTTTTTTATCAATTTTATTAATATTTATTTAGCTGAGATTTTACTTACAAGAAAAACAAAAATGATTAAAAGAATCTCTATTTTTCTTAAATAAATAATTAATATGTAATCAATATTTATTATTTAAAACTAAAATCTATTTATTAATATTATTTTGCTAATTATATATTTGAATCATAGATAAATTTTAATACGTCAAATATAAATATGAATTTTAGAGTTTAAAATAAAATTCGTTAGATTGTGTAAATTTTTAAAGAAATTGTAATAATTGATTTTATAATCTATTCTAATTATGAGTAATGTTTAATATGGTTTCTGGGGATGCGGAGGTGAGGTGTAATAAACTAGATTATAATTAGGATGACTAAGCGAAGTGTCGTCTTCTGAATTTAATTACTTTTTGCGGTGAATGTAACACTGACGTTCATGCAATGTTCATCTGGTTTTTGGAGGTGGAGAAGGAAGGGTGGATGGGTGGTGTGGCGGCTGATTTAGTTCTCCGGAATGGTGCCCTTATCTCGACACACCGCCAACACACGTATGTCGCGATATTACCCAGATTGCGACTCATTCGGGATATTAAATTTCCCCATTTCGTTTATAATTCCCATCGAGCTCGAGCAAAACAGCGTCGACGCTAATCGCAGCGCCTTTCGATCATCCCGGATTGCGGCTGATGGAAATTAACGATAGGCTGTATAGTTTTAGCTGTCAAAAAATGTGAACGTCAAAATTCTCAGTGAAAACGTGCTGAAAAAAGATCCGGAGCGCGACATGCGGTACATGTCACCACAGGATTGCGTCAAATGCAGAGCGAGGAATAGATGCAAATGTAGTCCGGATCGCGAGGGAGTCCTGGGATTGTCCTGGATGGAGAAGCCGAACTGCTGCAGTCCTTGCGGTGCCAAAGTACAGGTGAACGTCTGCACGGATCTATGCAAGGTGCGCAACACTTCGGTGGTCAGCGATATGTTCGAGAATTTGAAGAATTCGATTGAGTACGTGCCCAGCGGCGACAACTGCTTCCGGCTGCAGACAACCGCCTGCAAACCATGCTGCCAACCTGTCCCTCCCGGGAAATGCGCAACACTCAAGATGAAGAGGTGCTCATCATCCGTTGCGCATTGTTGTTCCGTTTGCGAGTCGAGGATCTGCTGTTGCCGATGCTGCTGTTGCGAAGAGGAATCGCAACCCTACTGCATGCTGTCTCTTTTCCTAACGATCTTACTCGTCATTGTATTCTCATATTGTGGTTACCACTACTATAAGTTATACAAGGATTTTCTGTGCAGACAAAAACTTAGGTACCGACTGTTCTAATTATAAATAAAGACCAATAATATTTTAACCCTAACAATATTTAACAGTACGATATATAACATAAAATTGAATGATGAATGTTTTGGAATGATTTTAATTATCTGTTTATACGGCGAAACAAATCCAATAACAGGGATAAATCAGGCGCGAAAACGGGGATGGATGTGGAGAGACAAAAAAAAAAGGGAGAGAGAAAAGAGGAACAAAAGCCCTTAAATCAAGTGTCTCAATCGCAGGCCGACAACTACATCGTCATTTATAACTTCCTTCTTTATCTGCGCCGTTTAAAACGTCGATATTTTATCTGGTCGGCTTTTGTTCGTTGTCGGCGAGTTCGCTTCCCACTATTTTCATAATTGAATTTAGTCATTCCAGAAAAAAAAAACACAAATAGAATCCACAGCTTTTTGGATTTTCTATTAATTTAACTCAAGAAGTTGCGTATATATTGATAAAAATAATAATCTCTATAATTGATACATGACAAAATTGGTCACTGTAAGGATGAACGTAACGAGAAGGAATGTGAACACTGCCAGAACCTCAGGTCTCCTCAAGCAATCAGCCTGATCGCAGATGCCGTTGCAATCGCACGAGAACAATTGCCTTAGAAAAGTGTTGAAGCATGTATCGTCGTTGCATCCTACTTGGAGATTAAGCGATTTTCTACTTCTGGAACTACTCCTGCTTCGTCCTCTGCGTCTCATCTTCCTCCTACCTCTCCGACTGCTGCTGCTTCTTCTTCTACCACTTTTAGTGCTACTTCTTCTCCTTAAACTCCTTCTGCTACCATTTCTGCTTGCCAAACTCTTCCTGCTACCGTTTCTGCTTGCCAAACTCCTTCTGCTGCTTCTTCTACTCCCCATACTAATATCGCTTTTATTCATACTCATCGTACTCCTGCCTCTGCTACCTAGACTAGTTAAACTTGTACCAATCGATTTCCTCGATCTGCTCCTTGTGGATCGTCTTCGCGAAGCCATACTGCACACACTTTTATTTCTATCCATATTATCAGTGGATTGTCGACGACTCTCCGACAACTTATCCGACAAAGCTTTAAACTCATCCGTTTGTTTCCTATTCATCTCAGTAAACATATTCATTAGAAGACAAGGACATAATCCGCCCATAGGCGAATTGTTGCAGAAATTCATACCATTTGTATTATTGCATCCATTATTAAATTGCTGTGGATTTATACCGTATGATCTATTAGTTTGATTTTCGTTTGTAAAATCGTTGTTAGTTGGGGGAATATTTGCAGCCATGGGTTGTTTGGGTTGTTCGACCATAGTGGTATTATCTATAGTCCTTTGACCAGCAGTTTTATTGGTCGTTGTATGACCTCCAATTGTATCTCCATTCGTTTTGGGTTTATCGTTATTAGTATTATTGGTATTCGAAGGACTTGATAAAAGTTTATCATCATTGTTGATACTTCCACGAGGCGAAGAGGCTCTTATATCGGAATGTTGGAATTCACTGTAACCTATGGGTAAAGTGCTGCTCGTTCTTTTAATGGTATCATCGTTGATAGTTCCGACAAATGTTGAAGACCTTAAAGGTTTATCAAGAACCATCTCAGATGCTCGAGGTTCATCATCGTCAAACATCGCGAAGCATGACTCATCGTTGCTTACTATATCTACAGTTTGCGCGCTTCTGGATGTTATGAGACAGGTAATGCAACATTCATCCGAGCATCGCTTCTTCTTCCGCGGAAAACAACAGTAATTTTTGATATTCGATCGTAAGTTATACGTCAGATTGCAGCTCCCATTACTAACCGAAGCATCGGTTGTGCTGAAGGTGCTTGTCGATTTGCAGAGTGCCAGAGCGTTATTACTGCAATCATCCAGACATGAAGTATTTTTTAAAATTTCTGCTGGTGTACTTGTGCAAGTGTCGACCAATTTGTTATATTTTCCAGTGCAAGAACATCTGGCCGGTCGATTATCCTTGAATGAAACAGACGGGCTGCTCGAAATAGATTTCAAACTCGTGGTGCTGGTTGACGAGTTCATAGATAATGCTGAACCATCACCGATACCAACGTGACGTGAGGGCTTCCTCAAACTCAACTGACTGTTCCGAGGATCGAAACTACGACGACGACTTTGACGAGACTGTCTTCTGAGGCTTAATTGACTGTTCTGAGGTCCGAAATTATTACGACTTTGACAAGACTGTCTTCTGAAGCTCATCTGACTGTTCTGAGGTCCGAAATTATTACGACTTTGACGAGACTGTCTTCTGAAGCTCAACTCACTGTTCTCAGGTGCAAAAATACTACGACTTTGAAGAGACGGACTCTTTATACTCGATTGACTTGGCTTCGGATCAAAATTCCCAAACGATTTCCTTAAGTTTAAATGACTGTGCTGAAAATCGTTGTCCGATCTTCCATCCTTGCTTTTCAATCTGTCCCTAAAGGTGGCCAGGGATTCACGAATTTGAGACACGCTCACGTTAGAACTGTTTTGAGACTGAGTGGAGCTGAACATGCTTGGAGTTATACTCAAATCATCTGGGTCACCATCATCATCATCATCAGCAAGAACATAATCATCATCATCATTGTAATCATCATCGTCGTCTTCTTGCGAGGGATCGTTCGCTTGGCAATCTTCGTTCAAGCAGGCGTCCTCGGAGATGCACGGTGAGAAATCCGAAGAACTGTTCGACGGTTGCAAACTGCATTCGTTGCTGCAGCATTCTTCGCATTCAGGGCAACTGCTTGAATCGGTGTAACTAATGCTCGGTGACTCATTCTCGTTGTCCACCGTTGTGGGAACGAAAGTGTCGTCTACGCTCATCAACCTTTCAGGTATCTCATACTTTGCGCACAAGCAGACGGGTGCGTTCCTACCTCGAGGTGATCGAGGAACGCCCAAGTAGTAATAACCATCTATCGGACTCTTCGACTGCATCCGTTGCACGTACACATTCACGCCGTTCCCGCAGCTGCACTGGCATTTTCCTAATGGTGGTGATGATGCTCCCGTCTCGAAGATGGTCTCTTCGAACTCGCTCATAGCTTACAGCAGACGAAGCAGACCGGATGCACCAAATAGAGTATCAGGACAACAAAAACGGAAACAATCTCTGGGACGGATAAGTATTTGCGTAGTATCAATTTCGTTTGTTCTGCCGTTCGTCGGGATTTCCTTCCGGCACGTGAGCATTGCCCCGTCGCGTCCATCTCATACCGAACGCATCGCAAATGACGGTCGTCCTTGATTGCGCATCTGCAGGTTCTCAACTTCTCCTTGCACAGACACACCAAACTTTTCTTCGCTACGCTCATCTGCTCATTCGGACAGTTAACCGTTGTTGTTGTTGTTAACTTGCAGCTACTGAGTATGTTGCAGCTGACGTGGCTACAGCCGCAGATACAAGCATTACTGGGTCCTCGGCTCGAATCCGGATCTGTGTCAAAAGTTGGGCTGCTATTGGACTGTCGTCGACCTGTCGATAAGTTATCTCCACTCACCCAATTCCGCTCCGACAACACTTTCTTCAACCTTTCGTCACACAGATTATACATAATACCTTCTCAGCATTACCACTGTTTTATTTTTGTTTTCTTTCACTGGAAATTTTGATGTGACAACATCACTGACAAACTTCAAATGCTCACTTAATTATTACCATAGTTACCATGGCTATTATAGATTAACTTAGATTGAGAAAACATGCTAAAATTATGGATAAACAATTGAACTTCAAATGCTTTGTTTATTTATCTATTATCGTGTAATATTTTCTAATCATTTTTCTTGTCCAATAGGATCAAAATGAATTGTCGTGTCCCAGGGTTAAGAAATCCTTGGACACCGTAGATTATCTCGTAGTTATGTCGTAGCGGAGTCTTAGAGGGGTTTATGAATATTAAATGCAATATTCTTAATAAACTTTATTATACACATCGGAGTTTTATTGAGAAGTCAACTATACAATAGTTGATCTCATGGATTATTAGTTAATTAAACTTTAATTAACAAATTCTTGAATGTCACTTACATAAACACACGTTTCTCAGTATTATACACGTGAGTATTTAATTGACGAAGTCAACTAAACAATAGTTGATCTCAGGTATTATTAACTCTTAAGTTAGTGTTTATGAAGTAAGGACTCTCCCAAGTAGGACTTCTCTCTTCGGTCCCCTGACTAAGACTTCTTCTTTCTTCGCTCCCCTAACTAAGACTAAATTATATAATACAAAAATGTGTTCATTTCAAAAAGTTATTCTAAATAATCACGTACAAGTATCCGTTTGTATATTTGATGGATACGTTGAATAAGCTTTGTAATAATTAATAGGAAAGTGGTAGACCTAACAAATATACATATTAGTTATACAATAGAAGACAATAAATTGGTCGGACACGACAATATTTCAAGTTTTACAT